TATATACACATACACACACACACACACACACACACACACACACACTGACACAACTGATACAATCCCTCTGTAATAACTGGATGTACATTAGCAAAAAAAATCAATGATTCGACCACATCCATTAAATATTTTAGAGAGCACAGCACTATAGTTAAAGTGTTGGTGTTCAAGTTAATAATACAACAGAAGAGATAAAACAGAGGAGAAAATCTCACAGTAACATCCTTCCGATTAATCAGCACTGACAGTAAGAGGTGTGGCCTGAGGAGAAAAAAAGCAGGTTCCCACTGTTTTTATACAGTCTATGGTTCCCACCCACGTCTCCATGAAACACTGTCGCTGGTGAGGGACACTGGCTCTAAGCATTCACAGACCACCAACTGACATTCTCTGGTCATCTGGGACACTCATGACAGCCATTTTCACAGTGCACAATAGCCTCCCATTACAGTTTTTTACCCAATTCTGAGATACAATCATGTTGTCATATTGAAATTACTTGGCATAAGTGCCTTCATTTCTGAAAATGTAACAACAAAATTAAAAAAAAAAACATTCTAGGATGTATTTTAGCCTATGTGGGGATAAGAAAAAATCTGAGATAACAATCAAGGCTTTCTGGGAAAAAAGAGCAAGGTGCATAACTGATGTTTGAATAGCCTGCTTAATATAGGCCTAACCAATGGTAGAAATTGACTGTCACTTAAGCCAAGCAAACAATTTTGTGGCAACAAGGGGTGAACAAAGGGTGATGGTCCATCATTTTTTTCCCCAAAGCTCTAGACAAAGTCCTCAGTGACATCATAACAGAGGGTGAGTTTCAAGTAGACAGCAGCAAGCAAGCTTGAGACAACCAACACAAATAGATAATATGAAAACCTTTATTTAAGGACTTAAATATCTTTTATATATTGAATAGACCAGGGGGTTACATAAAACAAAGTGTTAAACTGATGGTTTATAAACCGTAAACTGTAGTAATACCCGATTACTGAACGAATTGCTCTTTTGAGTCGTATCTTTTCAATTAATCGTTTGACTGAATAAACTTAATGAATGTAACATATGTAGCCTAATAAAACACAATTAATTAGGTTTAAGGTTCTAAATCAATTATTTGGCTACAACATAGGCTACTGCACTAGAATACGTACTTTTTTACTTTTTTACTTTTAGTCATTTAGCAGACGCTTTTATCCAAAGCGACTTACAAATAAGAAAACGTAATTAAAACTATTCATCAACACGAACTGTTCGAAAGAACCGACTCGAGGAAATGAGTCGAATTTCCCACCATAGTGGTCCTGTGCTAAAATATATTAAAAAATGAAAAGGGGGAAAAGCTAAATTGGCAAGATGAGTCAAATATGTATTCTAACGCATTTAAAAATAATGTTTTAAATTGTTTTGCCAGTTAGCTTTCACGGAATACAATATATAAACGTTTGGATCGGTTCTAAAGAAGAAAAATAGCTACATAGGCTCCCCAGGGATGAAATAAGCCAATATCTGAAACTGTGAAAAAAACATTTTATCTAAATTAAAGTGTATAACACCCAGCAGCAAACGGTAAGAATTGACTTGTGAAACTCAAAAAATAAAATTCAAACTTAGCATCAGTCACTTGCATCAGTTACCGTCAGACACACCCATGAAAAAAAAGGTTCCAATAAACGCGGTGGGTTGGAATTTTGTTATAACGTTTATCATAAACTACTCATAACTTGACATGACTCAAACCCCCCATTGATCCCGCACATAAGCGTGTGCAACTTTTCTATCTTTATTAATGTTTGTTCCCAGTATCATACATTCATTCGTGGGGCTCTTTCGGACGGTGGGAATCATGAATGACTTCATTGTAAATGTGCAAAGTGTTCCGTTTGGCGGGGTTTACAAAAGTCTACCCCCTTCCCCAGCTCCTTATGCAACCCCTTATAGAGAGCCCTTGTCTGGACCCTAGACTTTAAAGGTCTATAACTGAGCCAGTTCATCTCCAAAACTCGAAAATATGTCGGAAAAATCACCATGGTCCCAAACTGTTCTGGTCTATATGGGAATCAGCAGGATTTGTGACCCAAATAAAAGTGACGGAGCGGCACTGGGGGATCTGCCGAGCGTTGTTTACAAAACTGAGAGCAGCGCGACTGATGCAGGTGCCAGCCGAGTTTAGTTTCAACACTTCTGCAGTGACTTGAGTCTCCTACCTGAGCAGCGCGGTGTCTCCCTGTCTGCTGACCACACTCTCGCTGGACGCATAGTCCACAGTTTGTCCAGCGGGCAAACACGATGGTAAAAAGCAGCAAAGACTGAGAATTATAGCGGTGAGCCACTGACCGGAGACGCACGCATCCCGCACTGCAACCATTATGTCCATCACCGCCAAATGGAGCACGATCCGCGCCGTTATCAAAAATAAAAATATAAATATCTGGATGAAAATATAACAATCCTCCGCGAAAACCCCGAGAAATGGCGTTCCGTGTAATTTCCCAGATTTGTTTTGATCGGAACCTCACCGCGGGAGGAAGTCGACTCTCCAGTGGCTTGCACACCATCTAGTGAGGAAATGGGAAACGGGAGCAGAGCTAGCAGCAGACAACCCCCCGGCTCTGATCCTGTTGCCATGCGGCCGTTTCCCAGGCAACCTGTTCCCTGTAGCTCGTGATGGAGCAGTTAAGCGGGTGCTTATTCTTGATACGGCAATACTATTTAAATTAGTGAGTTTTGACCACCCGGGGTTTAGCACCCTGCAACCCCAAGGCGTCCTCCTGCAAACACGCGCTTTGTTTTGTATTAGCCTATTGCGTGTGACGTCTCCAAAAAAAAAAAGAGTCGATGAAAAGAGCAAGGTGTAAAATGACATAGGTCAGGTCTTGTTTGTGTCATCGGTGGCCCATGCAGCCCTGCAATAGGCTGCTATTTGTCCCGAGAAGTTACTGCAAGTTGGATGTTCTCGTCCATTTTTAGACAGTAGCTTAAAAGATTTCTTAGTTCTCTTAGACCAAGTATTTTTGTGTTGTTTATCATACCAAAGTAAGCAAAATTGTCCTTAAAATTAAACATTTAACATTTATTAATATTACATACCCCCATATAGTCAGCAGATACAGTAGCTACATAGACATGAAATATTGATCTGAATTTAAATTAAAATTTTGCATGTATCTTAAATCTTCTGCTAAAATAGTCCAAACAATATGAAACAATTGGCCTTGCAACAACATGCAAAACTGCAACTTTAGCTACAGTAGGCCTGATATTAATACTGAAGTCCTCCTCATTTTCACAGCTATTGCCAGTTGCATTTGTATGCAACAAGAGAGTGAGTCCGGTGTCATGAGAAATCGGGGCCTCTCTCAAAAGAGAGGACTAGGGTCTCTTTCATCAACCCTAGTTAAACACAAACAACATTCATTTAAAATGTCAAACCAATCTCATAAGAAAATGTAACTATTTTACCGGGTGGAGATTTCATATGAATTCGTATGATGGGATTTGTACAAAAACAAATTTGTACAAATTTTAAGAAAAAAAAAACAGTTGTGAAGGTTCAAACCTAACTGTCCATGAGGCATGAACCGATTGTAAGAAAGCTACAAATAATATCATATGAATTAGCCACCAATTCACCCAAAACATAAAATAGTTACAAATTGCAATGAGAGTGTTAAATATATTTACATAATTGCATAAAATGTTTTGGTTTCAGTTGCCTGAATGAGTGTGCTGAAATTCACAACTGACCAATCAGAATTAAGTATTCCTTCAATCCATGCAATAAGCAAGCCACACCTTAGTCAGGTTGACGCCATATTGAATTTAAGGCTGTGATGGATAGACTTACAGTCTTTACATTGGCACACACTGTATAAAGGTCCTAGATCATGTAATTTTCACAACTCACAACATTCAACATTTTTTGCCTAGTCAAATGTTTATTTATTTATTTATTTATTGGAAAGATGTTTCATCAGCTTAACAACTGGCATGTTAAACAACAGAACAATCCACTGAATGCACACTATAGCACTACAGTTTAATAATGAATTCCTAGTAGGTCTGGGTCATAGCGTGTACATCAACAACAAACGTATTTTCTGCCTTTTAAATGTTGGTAAGCCAATTTATGATGTTGATAAGCCAATTTATGACAGGTCATGAGGTTGGATGTCAACAACAAAATATACGGGAAATATTTTCTGCCTTTTAAATATTGGTAAGCCAATGTCATGTTTCAATCAATACTGTACTCAATTAGATACTTCCATTTTATTATCAGCATTCAGAATTTTTTCCTCTGATGTCCATGACCCAATCATTACAGACTTGCGGCACACCAGTTGAAAGCCACTGCTTTAGAACAAAGGAAGTGCTTGAAGGAAAAATCCTTCTCAGCCAAAATAATGGTTGACACACCCTACAATAGCAGCTAAAGGCTACACCAAAATCTTTCATTAAAGTAACCTACATTTTTCTTTTTCCCTAGCTGCCCAAGGCTATAATCGTCAGTGCTTTTCCTTTACAGCTTCTTTAAGAGGAAAAGCAGTATGCTTTTAGAAGTCATGGTAGAGTACAATACAGCTAGCATAGTTTAAAACATAAAGCGAGGACCAGATCAGCATTTTCACTAATAAGCTTGGGGGATTTCTCACACTCATCGCAAGTTTTTCCTTTTTTATTTGGCGCCATCTGAAACACTGCAATTTCCACAGTAGCAACTACTTGTTTGCTTACTCACATTCGCCTCTTTTTGATAGTGAGGTCCAGGTTGTTGAAGAAGCTACAAGGTGTATAGACATGCTTTGATAAGGGATATAGGTTTTTCTTTATTGTGCTTGTAGTTTTCATGTGCTCAGTGAATGTTTTCATTTTCTCCTCATGATGACCATTCCTTTGATTTCCATTCCCATCTTTCTGGGTATTCTATACTTTGTTTTTTCTTTGTTACTTTTCTCTCTGCAGTCTGTGGTATTGCCTTCTTTATTTTAAATAATACAATCGATGTACTGTACAATCGCACAACATTCAATGTCAGTGGAACCAAAGGTTTCTGTTTTTTTTAGATGAGGATCTAAGGTACAAGTCTGCACCTAGACCAGCTTCATACACATTGGCTTTAGTTTTATAGATTGTGGATCCTGCAACTAATGGATTTGTCTAATAAGAAATATATTTACTGTTGACTCACTGACATGGTTGGGCCATTTGTAAAATGGCTCTGATAAAAGCATTTTGAACCTGCTCCTGTTGAGTATTTTCCTTTTAATTGGGAAAGACATGGTTTGGATATAATTGCCTGAATGTCATTAGTGTTAATGGCGACCAAAGTCCCTTCATTCCATTCTGTATCTAAATTGGACTGGCATAGTTGGTCTGTGCTAATCATTTACGCTGCCAAAAGCCAAACACTCATTACTAGGTAATTCTAGCATCATGCCTGATGTTTGAATAGGACGAGAATACATGAATATTAAATACACTTCTTTTTTTTTTTTAAAGTAACAACTATATTGAGAAATATTGATTTAGGTGTTATTGAGAATAATGGAGACAGAAAAAATATAATTCACAGCTTAAAAAGAATCTAAACGTAATCATAATGATGTTTTGTCACCTGCTGTGAAAGACTGGGGCCAATTATAATTTTTACACTTTCCATAGCTCAGAGACTACTACAAACATGCTAGCCATCTTTCAGCATAAGACATAATTATATGTACCAAAATAACTAGATTTATAATGAGGATATTACATCATAACATTGAATTTAAGACAATTAAATTATGAAAATATGACAAATAAACTGTATCTAAAATATATAGCACATCAATGCTTTAATATTATTAATATTTCTGAATAATTTTCACCTTTATTCATATTTCTGAATAGTTTTCACCTTTAGGGACCAATTGTGCTTTGAATTAACTATTTACTTGGATGAAATAATGTTCACTGCATATTTAATTATTGAGTTTTTCAATTTTGTGACTTTTTGTTTCAAATAATGATACAGCTACAGTATTTGAAACAATGATTCATGGTAACTTCTAACCAACAAATGAAAAATATATTATTTTGAATTCAACTAGTTTGAGGCTTGATCAAAGGAGTCCATTCACCCATACGAGAGTACCCTAAGACAAAACAATATAGCAAAACCAGTCACTTAATAACCAAAATGACTTGTGAAATTCTCTCAAGCACACAGAACTGAGTCTACCTGCTCATGCATGAAAGCTGTGATTATTATTACTCCCCATCCTCAACACAGTTCTGTGAAGATGTGAGGGAAATGGGAGCTTTTCACACTTTCACACAATGCAGCTCCTGAAATAATGGACAAGATAAATGATGCTCAGGATTCTACCACAGTGGCAGGGTCTTTTGTTTTGTGCTGTCTTGCCAAAACCTTTATAAGAAATAAACACATTTAGATTCCATAGTCCTTACTATTTTATACCACATAGCTATTAAACAAGCTTTATCCTTGAAAGAATGCCAATGATTCAAAGTTAAAAATGTTAGTCAGGGAAAAGTTTAATCTCTTCATGAAATAGCTACTGAAAAGTAAGCCTGGCTGGAGGCTTAAATCACAGAATATTTTTTCCTCACACGTGCATGACATCGGTTACATGCCTGAAATGAGCAGTCCAGGAATGATTTGTGCACCCTGCAGTAACTTTACTGGTATGGGCAGAGCAACTAGAAGAGCAGTGGCACTCAACAATAAAAGTGATGTTATGCAGTTAGAGGACATCTATATACAGTGCAACTATTCAGATAATAATCGTCCTTGAATTTGCAACATTCCCAAAGTGCTGATTCAGTCCAAAAAGACTGGGAAGCTTTTTTCTTCTGATTATTATTTTCTTGAATTGTATTTTTTATTTTTTTTTGCAATTCTGAGAAAAAACTCAAAACTGTGAGATAGGCCTATAAACTCAGAATTGTGAGATATAAACTTGCAATTGCAAGAATGAAAGTCAATAATGTGAAATTACTTTTTTATGATTATTATTTTTTCAGTGGCAGAAAAAAAATTAATTGCAAGATATAAGCTCAGAATTCAGTAAAATAAAAGTCAGAATTGCAAGATGTAAACAAAATTCTGAGAAAAAACGTCAGAATTGTCAGATATGAACTCAGAAATTGAGGAAAAGAAAGTCAGAAGTCAGACTTTTTTCTCAGAATTATGAGTTTATATCTCTCAGTTTCCAATTGACAGTCATTATGTTCGAGTATATTATTGAATCATTCAACTGATTTGTTTATTTCAACCAATTCATTCAAAATGCTGATTCATTGCAGGAACTGCTGTGTTGCTGGGAGACTGGGTTGGGACACTGGAAGAATTCTAACATGACGTATATACTATTTATTGTGGTAGGATTAAATAAACACACTCCCCTCAAAATTTCATGTAGAACATGTTTGGGTCTTAGGAGAGCACTGATACCAACCAACCAACCAACCAACCAACCAACCAAGCTTTCTGATAACACTTTACAACAAGGTCACATTAGTTATTAGTTAATGCATGAACTAACATTCAGTAACAATAAACAAT